CTGGTCGCAGGCCACGCTTGGAGTAGGGAGAGTTTTCAGAGTGTAGACTCTGGAATCGAACAGACCCACTGGGCCCTTAATTGCTAGCTGAGCAAGCCAAGCAGGTCTGTAAGCTCTCAGTGCCTGTGACTCGGGAATAAGAAGGGTGCCTTCCCTGCAGAGTTGTTGTGAAAACAAAACGAGCTGGAGCCTGTGAAGCACTTAGTCCAGTGCCTGGCGCATAGTGAGTGCTCAATAAATATTAATATCATCTAGAGACAAATACCATAAAGTTGCCCAAGCCAAACAGAAAACGCTTGCTGGTTGGTACTATTTGGGGCTGTTTGTGCTGGTGCACTGTTCCATTATTCATTTAATGTCATCATCATCACCACCAGGATTTTGAATATGCCTTGTATGGTATTATCCCCATGCACTAACAGGGAAACTGAGGCTCGGGAAGGTTGGGTGACTTAGCCTTTCCAGCCACACAGCAGACACAAACTTACACCCAGATTCCAGGTCTGCTGCCTGCTGTATACACCGCAGCTGCCTTCTCTTGAGAACTTAACGTGTGCACGGCCCAGCGGATCTGTCAGTGTGGGAGCCTGAGCCTTTGATCATGGCTCCAGGGAACGAGAGCAACAGGCTTCAAAGTTTTTTTCACTCCCACACCTGTCAAGAGAATTTTGAAAAACTCTGTATCTGCTCACACATTTTTAAATTGACGTATAAAAAATTTTTTTTATCATAACTTTAAGGGAAGTGTATTCAGGCTTACTGTATGTCATATATTTGCTTCATATATATTTCCATCAAAGCCTTAGAACAGCACACTCAGCCCAGGCAGTCATGGAAAATGTCTGCTGTAATTCCTAATTGGCCAACCTGGATCTTATTATTAGACCAGCTGGGCAAATCATACTTTCTTTCAGAAAAAGCCTGACTTCATTTTTTAATTCAAATATTGATTAAACAGGTTAAACAGATGTCCCGAGGTCAGCTTTCTTGCTTCCTAATTCTAATCCTAAAATAAACAGATGGGTAGATAAGACAGATAAATATGTCCAGTTCCCTTCTCAGTGTCTTAAGGAAGCTCTCTTTGTCTGTCCTCCCCCAGGAGGGCTGAATTCTCCAGTTGTCTCTTTGTTTGGTGGCTTTTACACCCCAGGGCAGGGCGCCAGGGTAAGGCTGAGATGGCTGGGGGTGAGCCTTTGTTTTGGGAAGTGTTCAGGAGGGCCATGGAGAAGGGAGAGCTAGCAGATCAGTCTTAGGAAGGAGTACACGTGGAAGGAGAGGTTTTGGAAATTGATTTCCTGGAAGCCATTTGTGTCTGAACACTCCTGTGTTGCCCAGGGGTTCCCCACATGCACCCTGCTGGGAAGACTGTTGAACTAGAGGCCTGGAGATGCTGCCCAGGGTTTTGTTCTGCGAACATCACATTGTGCACCCAGGGCTTATGGATCTTTGGGAGTCTTTGCTGGAGCCGGGACTGAGCCTGCTTCTCCCACTGGCTCCCTGGCGATACCTGGGATGCATGGCCATGTTTCTTTGTGGCTCCTCTCAGGCAGATGGCAGGAGGCTCATACTCCCTTGTTGCAGGCGGGTAAACTGAGGCCCAGCACAGGGGAGGGACTTCATGGCCACAGAGCAGTCCATGTACCCACCAAGAAAGCCAGCTGGCATTCCTGGGGGAGGCATCACAAGGCAAAAAAGCCGTGGGGTGGGTCAGGAGAGCTGGTCTTCAGAGTCCGTCACTGCCTCTGCGTCAGTGTGCATCACTTGCATTCTCTCATCCCCAGTGTTGCTGTTAGATGGGGCTGATGTGACAGGCATTTAGCCTGGTTCACAGGCCCTGAAGTTGGGCAGACCTGTGTTTGAATCCTGGCTTTGCCACTTGCTAGCTGCGTGACCTTGGGCAAGTTACTCACCTCTCTGTGCCTGTCGCCACATCGGTAAATGGGGAGAAGAAAAGTATCTCCCTTGTGGGGTGATCAAGAGGATCAGTGAGACCATGGCTATTTAGCGTCTGACCCACGCAGCACGCTACGTAAATATTCTTGTTGTTGTCCTTGGTTTGTGTTCCCTGCAGGAATTGTGGTCAGGAAAACGCCCAGTGGAGTGAAGGCCCAGTGGAGTGAAGGCCTGGTGGAGACTCTCCAAGGGCAGGGTTTTGTTGGTGCGTGGCCTCGGCCCCTTCCCAGGATGTCATGTGTGAAGAGGTGCTTAAGACGTGTCATCTGATGAGCCGGGAGAGCAAGCCAGGAGGCTCTTGTGACTGCTCTTGAGCCCCCGCCACCTGCTGAGTCTGCTGTTGGCATCTGCCTCTGGCCTCCCCTGGACACTTTAGGCCTCTTGCCCTGGGGGACGTCTTGTTACCCTGATGGCTTCAAGGGTGCCGTGCACTCTGGCGGGGCCTGTGGTGACCCGAGGGTCCTCGTGGGACACCTGTTGCTGCCCAGCTTCCTCCGCTTTTCAGGTTCCTACGTCCTTCCTGTGCAGCTGGCCTCCTCACTCACCTTTCTGTTTCCAAGCTGCCAAGTCTGAGTTTTCTTTTGAGCCTCTCCCAGCAGATGTTTTATAAACAGAGCCCTGTCCCCACCCTCCCTCGTGTTTTGTCATCTTTTCTTACAGACTTTCCTCTGGAAGCTACTCCCTTGGCCCCTTCACCCTCAGATAATGAAACAGAACAAATGCTCCAGTCCGCCACGGGATTTTGCTGTTTCAAGGAACCCCTTTGTCAAGCACGGAGTCCTTTTGTAACGTGAATCATCGCTCACTCTGGATTTCTGTTCAGGACCTTTCTCAAGAGTGGGGCCCGGGCTAGTTTGTAGGCCTGGGGGTGGCGGGGGCTGCTGGCCCCTCTCTCCCCGTCTGGCTTCTAGATGCGCTGATTACCTTTAATCCTTCCGCTGTCTTCCTGTCGGGGCTTTGGCCCGCCAGCATCGATCACGCTGGCCCGGAAGGTGGTGACGGGTTAGTGTTTCTCACTGTTTTGTTCCTTTGCTTCGCCCATCGCGTCTCCATGGAAACAGGTGCAGCCTTTGTGTTGCCTCTGCTTTGGGCGAATCAATGCGAGGAGTGGGGATTTTTCTTTTCTTTGGGATCAAAGGGGGAAGTGGGGGCGGCGAGGGGACTGACAGGAGGCCTTGTGGTGGCCCTCAGGGCTCTGGTCAGCCCTCCAGCCGGGGCCCTGCCGTGTGGCCCTGACCTGGCCTGCCCCGAGCGGTCACGCCTCAGGCACGATGAGGCCTTCGGGAGGGCGGGCGTGCAGTGATTTATAAGCGCTCTCAGCCCTCCTCGGCCTTCCGTATTCTCAGAGGCAGCTGCGGCCCCCTGGGGCGGGTCTCCGGGTAGGCGTGGGGCACGCTGGCACCAGCTCCCAGTCTTTGGTGGGACCTCCAGGGCAAGGCCTTTAACCTTTTCGGGTCTTGGTCTCTCCTGAGGGGCTTGGAGAGGTTTTGAACACGGGAGAAGACAGGGCTTTGGCCACAAGACTCCTTTTACCTTAAGGAAAACCCATATCTGGGTAAACTCTGCAAAGTTTTTGTCCTAGGATTGTTCCGCGGTGAATTGTACATTCCGTGTTTGAATCAAATCAGTGAGTTGCCTGGTCTGAAAGGAGACGTGTGGCACAGGAGCCTCTCTTTAGACCGAGCCTCGTACTTGTCACACAGCCCCCCGGTTCCCCGTTCTGGCCCAGGGTGTTCTGCCTTCCCAGCTACTAACAACCGATCAGGGAGCCTTGTGTTCCGGAGCACAGGGGTTGACCCACGCAGCGGGGACAACAGCGGCCCTGCTTAGTGCCCTTGAGTTCTGCCCAACGTTTCAGCTGCAAACTGGGGGCAAGCACGTCCAGGCAGGGCAGGGCTCCTAAGGCGAGGTGGCAGTTTTCTGCCTGAACTGGTTGCCTGCACACGTCCCTAGTCATCTCTGTCCCTGCTAGTTTGATGAACCGCATCATCCAACCGCTGAAACAGTCGGCTTTCAGCAGCGCCACATTCATGGGCTAACTTTAACACAGTCACATTAGCCTCTTTGATTCAGTCAGTAAAATCCAAACCCTGCCTGTTTGTTAACAAGTTTAAAAAAGACTTCATTTTAATATCTGAACTCTCTACCCATCTGCTTGTTAAATTTAGCAAAGGAAGTGTTTGCCCTCAGATTTCACATCGCCTGAAAGCCTCACTTGATGACGTGGGGGCTGGAGCCAGGTTGCCCGAGGGGAACCCGAGTGTGTTAGGTACGCTGGCATGGGGGTACGGTGAAGTTGTCCAGTCTCCTGCCTGCAGAATGGGCAGCTGCAACTTTCAGGGTCTGTCGCCGGACGTGAACTCCCTAATGCTTCTTTACAGTCAAGAAGTTTTTTCTGGAGTCTAACCTAAATCCCATTTTATTTTGTTCTGTCTTTAAGAAAGATAGCAAATAAAGAGCAAGTATTCTTAATGCTTTACTCAAAGACACTTAAATCTCTACTGAGCCTTGGCCAAACACGCCCAATTTTTGAGGGTTGCCTCCTGGCCTTTTCTTCCAGCAGAACAATGCCGGAGTTTTCTGTTGGTAAAACAAGGAGAATAGTAGCTGCCTCGCTGGGTTGGTGTGAAAATTAAATAAAGACTGTGGGGATGCACCTTGCCAAGTGCCTGGCATATGGTTCTTTTTCAGTTACATCTAGTTGACTCTGAATATATTTTATTTCCTGTCTGCTTTTATGCCATTTGGGGTTCCTGCTTTTCTTTACAGCCTTTCTTGAGTAAAGCACCCAGGGCTAGTGGGACATCGTCTTGATGGCCTGTTCCTGGGCCCACGGAGGCCAGGTGGGGCAGGTGTGGGCCACACCCCTTTGCTGTCCCCCACCAGCAGGCTAGGAGACTCTCAGCCCTTCTCTCTCCCCTGGGAGTCTTGGGCGTGGGAAAGAAAAGCCCTTTTACGCCTAGGCCCTGGGTAGCATCATCCTGTCCCTGTTTCTCAATTGACCTCCAGGAACTCCCATTTGGACTGCCGAGTCTCGGGCCCTCCCATATAGATGCAACAGTGTCCTGGTACCTCCTTGAGACAGGCCTTCTGCAGAGACAAATTGCTCCTGCCTCGTGCACAGTGGCCTGGATCTCTGCTTCATCCAAAGGGTGAAGTTATAGAGTCACTGTGACCCCTAAGCCACAGAAAACAAGGACTTCAGAGGTAGTTATTTTTTCACCAGATTTTACTCTTTTTTCCTTTGAACCAGAGATACCATGTGGGCGTATTTACCTGGTGTCTCAGTCTTCTCTCTGGAACATAGGACTTGCTAATAATAGTATTTGCTATAATTTCCCTCAAGTTTTGAAAAATGTGCCTAGTGGAACTGTTTGATTTAAAATTTCCTCCCTGCCTTTCTTCTGATCAGCATAAATACACATATTGCTTGCCTATCTGTGCTGGGGACGGAGAAACTGAATGAGACCCAAAAATCCTGCCTTCCCAGGTGAGCATCTTCTGTTGGGGCCACCGAATGGCACAGTGGCAATTGTGCTGTCACATATCTCGTGCTGCCGTATTGATGGCGGAGGAGAGAGAGGATCTAACAGGCCAAGGCCGCATGTGAATGAGCTGAGAAGTTGATGTGGGAAGACTTCCTGGAAGAGGAGGCCTGCAATCTGAATCCTGGAATAACGAGTTGCAGTTGCTCAGGGTGAGGGCTCAGGACCAGGAGGGTGTGCTGGGATGGGCTGGTGGCCAGTGGTGACCAGAAGGAGGCATGGCCCAGAGCTTGGCCATGCATTGTCTGAAGTGGCAGGTCCCTAGAGGACTGTTGACTTATATGAGGAAGATGATATTTCCTGTCCAGAACCAAATCTCTGGGGTGGGGGGCAAAAACAAAGGGGACCTCACTGTTGGCCTTCTTTCTCCTCCCTGGCTGGTCTCTGGACCCTACCTATGCTCTACAGCCCCACAGCCTCTGCCCCTCTCTGCTGTCCTCAGAGATGCGGATCTGCTGCCCAACACACCCCACCTCGAGGGGGTCGTGTCTCTTAACTGGGAGCAGCCTGGAGCACCCCGGAGCCTCTCCAACTTGCTTGAGGCCTGGGGGACAGGGATTGGGTGCACCTTGGGAGATACCAATTCAGTAGAGGTCCCTGGGCCTTTTCTTTACAAAACTCCCCAGAGATTCCGACATACCCTCTAGTAGAGAACCACCGTGCCGGGGAGGCCTGTATACGTTTATTCTTCTCCTTTTATGCTTCCAAAGGGGATCTTTGTCGTCTCATTTTTGGCTTGACTACTTATTTTTATATAAATATTAATAGATTAATAGATAGCAAAACGGGGGCACAAAGAAATGAAAGCTGTCCAAGGTCATGGTCTGTGGTCTTTTCAGCCTGCTCAAAATGTCTTGCTGGGCAGAGGGCCTAAGTGTCTGGACCCCAGATGTTTGAAGAAACGGGGAATGGTCTGTTGCTCAGACATTTACCACATTTTAATTAGGAAGTAGCATCCTCTTGACTCCCTCGGAAGGGTCCCAGGCCCACTAGCCTGGACATCTGTTCTCCTACCAATGTCTGCCCATAAATCTTGTCCTTGAGTCCAGGGTGGCTTAGCTGGGGAACAGTGGAGCCTGGAACTGGTGCCCAAACCCTCACCATGGTCACACAAGGATGTGACCACAACTGTGTGCTTGCTGGCAGGCACCCACACCTACATCTGGGGCTAGGTTGTGCGTGTGTAGCGGTCTCCAGGGCCGGGGGAGGGGCCGTTTCTCTGCTGTTAGGAGGATTTCTCACAGAGAGCTTTCTGTAGGCTTCTGCCGTACCTCCTGCGATTGCAATTCTGGGTCTCTGTGAAGAGAAGAGGTTTTTGTCTCCTGCATGCTGACACACAGTAGGTGCTCAGTGTTTTGACAGTAGATGAATCATTAGAAGTCTGTGTGTGAATGTCACTGGTGCCTGCGAATGAGACCGTCAGTTCACCTGGGACTTGAGGAATGCCTCCTGCATAATGCGGAGTCACTAAAGAGGTGTCTGTCCCTTAAGAGCCAACCACACAAGACAGCAGCTGACCAAGTGCTACACTGCCTGCCATTATGGCCACTAAGTGCTCCCTGCCTCTTCCAGACCACCCTGAAGTGCTGGGGGTGGGCTGGGAGGGCAGAGAGAGATCGATATTGGCTGAAGTTTTCTGAGATTGCCTGTTGGGACAAGGCAACCTGAGTTAGGTCTTGGAAGATGGACCTGGCTTGTTTAGAAAGACAGAGGAGAGGTGCAAATCACGCGTTCTCAAAGTGTGTTCCCTGGATCAGCAGCATCAGACGTCACCTGAGAATTCTTAGGCCCAGCACCACACCTAGGGATAACTCTGGGGGGGAGGTCCGCACTGTGTGCTTAACCAGCCATCCAGGAGACTGTGATGCTCGCTGAGTGTGATGACCGCAGAGGGAGGGATGTGATCTTTACACGAGAGACTGGAGCTGGGAAGTGGCCTGGCCCGTTCTACCCTTGGTGGCGCGGTGGAGGGAAGGCGGGAGGCACAAGGCAGACCAGCCTGGAGGCATCAGGGAAGCAGGCCTGGGATGCCGAGGGTCCCTGCTGGATGGGCGGTGGCCACAGGAACAGAGCACAAAGCCAGGGGTGCCATGAAGGGAGGATGGGCAAGCCCAGTGACCCACTGGATCTCATGCCATACTTTAAGAACACTCTTTGCTGTAAAATGTTTTAAAAAGCATATCCCCAAAAAAAAAAAAAAAAAGCATATCCCATTATGATATGCTAATTGTGGAAAGACAAAAGAAAGGGGGAAGAAATGGGGTCATGCAGAATCCCACCATCCAGGACAACTACTGACATCTTGGCATATTTCCTTCTTGCCCTGTTTTCTATACATTTTTTTCTTTCTGTAGTTGAAAGCATAACCATATATATCCATTTGCATTCTGTGTCCTTTGCTTAACAAAATATTATAAGCATTTCCCTATGTGCTTTCGGGCTGACTGTTTCTTTTTATTGTCGCAGGAGGCCCCTGAGGTGGGCAGGGGAGGTAACTCCGGTTCAGAGAGAAAAGGAAACTTGCTGCGTGAACTTCAGATGGTGGGGAGGGCTGCCGTCAGATGGGCTGGGTTCTTCAGCACAGAAATTGTAAGGGAAAGAAAGGGATGGAGGGGGAAGCTGTAGATTAAAATAGACTTAAAAGACAAACAATGGGGCAAAGCTACCGTGTCCAGGGATGTGTAGTTGAGCGATAAAGAAAAGCAAGGAAGTGATTGCTACAAAAGTCAGCCTGTGGCATGTGCAGAGGGTTTTGAGCAGCTGACAAAGTTTTGTTTCTTGACATGGGTAGGAACAAGGTGTTTGACTTATGGTAATTCATAAAGTTTACACGTGTTTTGTGTAGTTTTCTGTTATCTGTTTTATAAAAGGTTAAAAGGAAAAGGAAGGTGCTCCATGATTCATGTGCAGAACCAGGACTAGAACCCAGGCTTCCAGGGTCTCTCCTGGGGTGTCTTCCTTCTCCCCTGTTCCCCGCTGGGCCCAGACTTTGCAGGTATCTGTTCAGCCCCCATCCCCCAGTCCTCAGCTTGCTGGAAAAACTGCAGATTTACGTCTCATTTTGGTTGACTTTTAGGGACAAGCAGAGACAACTTGCAGGGAGGACAGTGAGGCTGCTTTGACTCAAATGAGGAAATTATTAAGGAGATTGGTGAAGTTAGCAGTGAAGGTGTCTCGGACGTATATCATCATGTGTGTTGTGCATTGCACGGGTGGGAGGGGCCTCAGTCTTTTTCTCTTTCACTGCGTAGTTCAAAGACATAGAGCCAAACACTCAGTGATCCTTTGCATTGTTAGAACCCCTTCCAGCTCATTTCTTTAGCCTGACCGTCAGATTCCTTGAAACTATTTTTATCTTTAATAACAATTTACAGCTGGGTTACGCTGTGATCTCAGCACTTCGGGAGGCCAAGGCGGGAGGATCACTTGAGGCCAGGAGTTCAAGACCAGCCTGGGCAACGTAGCAAGACCCTGTCTCTCCCTGGCCACAGATGTGGTAGAGAAAAAAAGAAAAAAAAAGCCAGGTGAGGTGGCACACACCTGTAGTCCCACATACTTGGGAGGCTGAGGCAGGAGGATTGCTTGAGCCCAGGAGTTTGAGGTTGCAGTGAGCTATGATTGTGCCATTGCATTCTACCTGGGGTGACAGAGCAAGACCCTATCACAAAAATAAAAAAAACAGCACCCACACACACATCATATACATAACCCCTGCCTCAGCTGCCCTTTTTCTCTGACTCCTTCCTATTGCTCTGAGAAACACGAGGAGACGGTGCCAGGGCCACACACATGCACACCAGGAGAGCAGACGGGACAGGGGACAGCAGAGGAGCCCTAAGGATGCTAAGAATACCCCTCCTCCTGGCAAGGCAAACAGGGAGCGCCTTTCTGCATCTGGTCCTCTGAGACCAGAGCCCTGCCAGTGTTGAAAGCAGAACTGGGGCTCCCAGCTGGACTCCCTCTTTTCTCTGCCTGGGGTGTCAGGTTTCACAGGAAACAGCCAAAGCTTTGATCCTGGTTAAGGCCGAGGACTGGGCAGTGCCGGGCACAGAGCTCACCCCAGCTCTGCCTGCGGGAGGTATGTGCGGCTCCTCTGCTGGGGGCCAGCTGTCCACCGTCCTTGGCCCCCCCCCCAGATAATGTAATAAAGCCTTTCCAGTTCTAGGCAATCAGGGCTTCAGACTGATAAGGAGGAGGGCTCCCCTTTAGGTCCTAGAATAGCACTATCTGATAGAAACTCCCACGATGCTGGAAATGTCCTAAAATATGTCCCTTTCAGTTTGGTGGCCAATAGCCATGGTGGCTGTTGAGCACTTGAAATGTGATAGTAAGACTGAGGAATTGCATTGTAAGTTTCATTTAATTTTAATTAATTAAAATTAAAATTTCTATTGCCACATGTGACTAGTGGCTCCCTTGCTGAACAGTACAGTTCTAGAAGAAGTGGGTCTCTGAGAAGGCCAGAGTGGCCACATTGGGATCTTTCAGAACTGCCTGACCTCCTCTTTCTTATGTGTGCACACACATGCACACACGCACAAATACCACCTCGCATGTTTCAGGAAGCTCCTGGATACGATGTCCTTTCATAAAAAGTCCACTACTTAAATACCCTTATCTCAGGTGAGGCAGAGCTGCCACTGGCCACAGATGTGCCCCATGCACAGCTTCTCTTTGTCCTTACATGATTGGAGATAAATGGGTAAAACCTCAGGAAAACATGTCCCTGAGAAATCTGTCTTCATCAGTCACTGGCCTCAAAGCCTGGTGTCCTACCTGGGCGTGCCTGAACTTCTCTGTGCTTCTGCCCTTCAGGAAGAAGGTGTCAGTCAATGCCCAGTGGCTGGCCTATAGGCACGTGGTGTAAATAAGGCCCGGACACAAGGGTGTTCAGCCCACTCTGGCAGTTTTCATTTTAGTCCCTCTTCTGGTTCCAACAGCTTGGCTGCAATAACAGGGATTTTGGCCTTCTGCAGGACTGGGGGCCGTTCGAGGGTAGCTTACTTGTTTTTTCTTTTCTTTCTTTCTTTTTTTTTTTTGAGATAGGGTCTCACTCTGCGGCCCAGGTTGGAATGCAGTAGTGTCATCACAGCTCACTGCAACCTCAAACTCTTACCTCAGCCTCCCAAAGTGCTGGGACTACAGGCACCTG